TCCGAGGCGTCCACAATCGACTCGTTCGAGCTCCTGTCCGAGGGCGCCGACGCAAAGCAGTACATCTTCTGGGACCGCGACGACGCTGCCTCCACTCCCGCTGCGGCGGTGGTCGCAAAGCTCCTCGCCGAGGACGCCGCAAAGACAATTGCCTTCTCAGCGACCTACGACAACGGGCCCCTCGCCGGTGTCCTCCAGTCTGAGATCAAGTCGTCCAAGCAGTCTGTCGAGGCCTCCTTCCACGTCGAGTCTGCGGACGTTGTTGTTGTGAGCGACATTGCCCTTCTGTCCAGCTTCGACATCACCGCGCGCACCAAGATCAACGGCTCCATCCTCCTCAAGTCCAACATCAAGGACGAGGACCTCGAGAAGCTCCCCGCCGCGTTCAAGCGCGGTGTCGCCACAAAGAGCATCACCGTCGTCATCCTCGATGTCGCCGAAGACGCATCCGCCGCCGTCGAGAACGCCCTCGTCCAGCTCTCCTTCCTGAGTGTCGCCGGCCTCGAGGCGCCCCTCGAGAAGCTCTCCGTTTCCAACCAGGACTCCGAGGCCGTCCACGCCGCCGCCGCGTCCCTCGCCACCGCCCTCCGCAAGGTCGAGGTACCCAAGGAGTGGGCTTCCGCCGTCTCCGAGTCCGAAGTGGCTGCTCTGCCAACTCTCCCCTCCGCCACCTCCTTCACCACCAACGACGAGAAGAACCCCACGGAGCCCATCTTCCACCTCAAGTCCACCCAATCCGCCGCGCAGATCCTCTCCTTCAAGGAGGCCTACGGCGTACAGTCCGCGCTCCGGCCCGACCTCGGCATGCGCAACTTCGTCGTCAAGGTCAAAGAGAACAAGCGCCTCACCCCCGCCTACTACGACCGCAACATCTTCCACATCGAATTCGACCTCACCGGCACCGGCATGGAGTACGGCATCGGCGAGGCGCTCGGTATTCACGCGCAGAACAACGCCGCGAGCGTGGCCGAGTTCATTGAGTTTTATGGCCTCAACGCCGAGGACATCGTCGAGGCGCCTTCCCGCGAGGACCCCGAGGTCCTCGAGGTCCGCACGGTGTTCCAGGCACTCGCGCAGAACGTGGATATCTTTGGGAAGCCGCCGAAGCGGTTCTATGAGGCGCTGGCGGAGTATGCGGTTGATGATGGCGAGCGAAAGGCGCTGCTGACGCTGGCGTCGGCCGAAGGCGCGACGGAGTTTAAGAGAAGGGCGGAGGTCGATACGTGCACTTTCGCCGATATCTTGGAGGAGTTCCCAAGTGCTAGGCCCGAGTTCCATGATTTGGTCAAGATTGTGAGCCCGCTGAAGAGGAGGGAGTATTCCATTGCTTCGTCTCAGCAGGTCCACCCCAATGAGGTTCACTTGTTGATTGTCGTTGTCAACTGGACGGACCCCAAGGGCCGTGAGAGGTTCGGACAGGCGTCGAGGTGGCTCAGCCAGTTGTCGATTGGGTCCGAGGTTACTGTCAGTGTTAAGCCCAGTGTCATGAAGCTTCCGCAGCTGTCTACTCAGGTTCGTATTCTCTTCTTCCCTATATATATACTCATTGAACGCCCACTAACAAATCTATAGCCCTTGATCATGGCCGGTCTCGGAACAGGTCTCGCCCCCTTCCGCGCCTTCGTGCAGTACCGCGCCTGGCAAAAGGCCCAAGGCATCCCCATCGGCTCCGTCCTGCTTTACATGGGCTCTCGCCACCAGCGCGAAGAGTACCTGTACGGTGAAGAATGGGAGGCCTACCAAGCGGCCGGCATCGTGACGCTCCTCGGTCGCGCCTTCTCGCGTGACCAGGCCGAGAAGATCTACATCCAGGACCGCATGAGGCAGAGCCTGGACGACATCATCGAGGCGTACATCAAGGAGGAGGGTGCCTTCTACCTCTGTGGGCCGACATGGCCCGTGCCGGATGTGACGGAGGTTCTGCAGGAGGCTATTGTGGAGGGTGGAAGACGGGAGGGGAAGAAGGTGGATGGGGTAAAGAAGATTGATGAGTTGAAGGATGCGGGGAGGTATGTCCTGGAGGTGTACTAGACGGGTGTTGGTTTCTTTTTTTTTCTTTTTTTTTCAGTTTATGGGTGTATATGTAGCTATGAGTGTGTGCTGGGTTCAAAAAAGGGAATCTCTTTTGTTTATTGTATAGAATAAAAAGAAGGCTCTTGGGGGGTGTTTTCCCCCTCCGAATGAATGATCCGGTGTTGATTGATATTGCTGAGATTAAGGAAGTGAGGTTAATATCACGTGCCCAATCTTGGCGAGATGCTGTGCCGAGTGAGATTCTGTGGCTTGTGCATTGACGCTGATCTGATCGCTTCGGAGGGTGTCAGCAAAAAGGACAAAAGGCCAGGAGCTATCTCTCCTCTGCCCTCCCTCGCCCCTGGGCTGAACCCCCGCTCGCCTGAACTCCGGAGCTCCCAATTGAGGACCAGGACCGCTAGCTGTCCAATAGGTGAGCATGAGTCGTGTAGAGAACTGCTAGATCCATGGACCACTCGCCCATGAGCATTCTTGGCTGGAAATGATGTTTGGGCGCCAAGGTTACTGTAGGCTCCAAGGCTAGCTGGTGAGACGTTTTAGAGTGAGCTAGGAATTCAACATAGATTTTGTTCCTACGTGAACCTCAAAGAAGAAAAGCTCAGGCTTGATAATTATCCACTGCACTATAAAAGAATATAATATGGTCTGAAAAAGGTTCGCTCAACCGGCCTAATCCTACATCCGGCCCTGACCATGGGGGAGACTACATGTACATGTAATTGGCCAGATAATGAGCGAGAGGCTAAGATAGCTCAATCACAACATAGAATCTACCACGAACCCACTGGCCACCCTCTTGTAAGTAAGGTAAAGCTTGGATGATTATGCATCGATGATGATAGAAGAGAAAAGAAAGCGGGACGCCAGAAGAAAATAAGCGGAGACAAGTCTAGCTACTGAGGACACCGCAATCCCTATGACCTGTCCTCTGTCATGACCTCCACCGCGTACTTTAGCCACAACCACATGTGTCCTTGTCAACTAGCCTGTGCCACAACGTCTAACTCGATTATTAAATTGCAGAACAATTGTCTATTTATCGATTGATTGATTAAATACATGCAGGTGATTGATTTGTTCGCCGACAGCAGCGAGGGGGCCAAACGTGGGTTGCTCGCGTTCTCTAATCTACTCTATAGTGCGTTTTAATTTGACATCACTTAAAAGAATGCATCCCTTCTAGTCAGCGGTGCCCCTATACGACAATTGCCTCACCAGTCAACCTCCTACATAAATTGAGTGGCAGTTATATCTATAATGAGACGATAGTTATGTTCTCTTAGATACATATGATAGGCCTCTCGATCTCTTCTACTTTCCTGCTTTCTCTAACTAGATCCTCCTTATATCTAGGCTACATTCACTAGGCTACCGTTCCCCCCGCACTCATTACTTCCAGATCAAACTATCAACGGCTCAAACCCACAAAGTATTTAGTTCCTATTATCACCCTACAGGCGAGACTGAGAACTAAGCACCCCGTCGGTGGTGTTGACGCACCTATTCTGAAAGTAACGAATGGGATCATACTTTCAGGCCCCGTAACTTGCTGCCCATGACCTCCAAAAGAGCTAGAGGGTCTAGTTTTGTTTTTGGGCGAGCTAAGAGATGCGTCCGCAGGAAAAGGGACGAATACAAGAGCTGGGGCTGGGACAGGGACAGGAACAGGAACATCATCCTCATTCAATCTCATCTTGTTTCCTCGGCAGCTTTCCCAGGAAAAAGGACGGGAAGAGAACAAGAGGGACGGGAACGGGGCGGGGACGGGGACGGACAGGCACAGAAACCTGAACGGAGCACGGTGGTGGAAGAGCTTCTTTTATAGCTGGATGAGTGGATGATGCCAAGCCCCAGTGTAAATAAACTGGCCAACAGTGCAGTTACCTTGCTGAAGTTAGCATTAATGAAGTAACCAATCAATCAATTGCTAAAGTTAGCTTCATGGCGTATCACTCGCGGTTAGGCGCTCCTCTCTTGCAATTGCTTCGCTGTTCCATGCCGTGGACAATGGTACATGGAAACGACAACGAGGCGGAGTTCATAGAGGAGATGTTGGGTGGAGATGTACGTGTAGATTAAACTTCCAACTCTGTGTGCCTATATATAATGCCGCGGGTGTAGAGAACGTACCAGTCTTCATGAGCAGAGGATCTTCGTCCCGCCAGGTTTTCGGGGAAGCAAAAGTAGAAAAGCAGCCCCTTGTTGAAGTAGACCACCAATTGGCCCACACCAGACAGTTTCCTTCCCAGTACTGGCTTCGAGGACGGCTAGCTAAGCATGAGGGGACTTAACAGAGAGTATTCAGAAAACACGACAGAGTTAGAAACAAACGTGACGCTCAACCACAAAGCATTCAAGGAATTGAGCATCAGCTTGGGACGCGATATATGATGCGCAAGAAATAGTCCAGCCATCTCTCACACATTAGCGTTTGTTTATAGCAAAGCCAATGATAGTCTAGTCAGCTCTTTTCCTCGCATTGTGATGCTTGGCCCTTGTTCACACGTTCCTCAAGAGCCCAAAAGACGCTCGTACCCCAAAAGATAAATCTATAATCCAGGGATCCCATAACCAAATCTAATCCAAGTCCAAGCCCAAAACCAAAACCCAAGAGGCCAATTGACCCCCAAAAGAGTAGATCTCCTGTCTCTTTGGATCCCTCGGCCGTACCAGCCCAAAGACCGATAGAGAGGATTACAATTCTACTAAATTTTTATTAAAGATGCTGTAAGCGTGGATGAGGGTATCAATATCTGCAATTTCGCGATATAATCAGCTGGCCCGCCATTATTGCCGTAAGCTATACTTTACATGTGTTTTCCCAACACAGACTCCCAGAACTCCATTAAAACCCTCCTTTTGAAAAGGAAAAAAGTAAACAGGGAAACAGGACGAGGGAAAAGAAACAAAAAAGGAAAAGAAAGGAAAACCAGACCGAAACCAAGCCAGCAAGCCTCCAACCCACCTCAAGCGCCCCCCAACCCCAGCATCCTCCACGCCTCCCTATCCCTCGCAACAGCCCTCTCCCTCCTCTCCTCCCCACTCTCCTTCCCCTTCCTCCCGCCCACCACCTCCCCCACCAGCGCCTCCGCCCTCTCGCCCACGCCCGCCAGCCCCGCCAACACCTCCTCAATCTGCCCCACGACCCTCCGATTCTCCTCCGTCTCGCGGCGGATCTTCTCCAGCTGCTCCTCCATGCGCAGGCACAGCGTCTCGCGCGCCTGGTGCGGCCGGTACTCGTTGATGAGGTGGTGCATGTTGAAGAGGATCGTCTCGAGCGCCGCCGTCTTCTCGTGGAACTGCTCGGGCGCGATGCCCATCACGCCCACGAGCTCGAGGTAGTTGAGCAGCAGCGACTGCGACAGTCGGCGAAGCTCGAGCGTGCGGTCCAGGGAGAGGGCCTTTTCTTTGCCGTTGGGCGTGGCCGTGGTGGGGTCGGGGTAGAGCTGCTGGATGCCGGATTGGGCGAGGGAGGGGTAGATCTCGGGGAGCTGTGGGGGAGTGTGTGCGTTAGCATTCCATTTGCACTCTTCTGTAGATATATATATAATATATAGATCATCATCAGATTAGGGAAGAAGATATGAAGGGGCATATAGAGATATACACACCGTCCAAGTCTCCCCAAACGCGCGATACCCCCCCTCCGGCAGCGGCGGCGGCACCAGACACTTCAGCTCCTCCGGCAGCAGCTCCGCGGGCGGCAGGGCCCCATCGGCACCCCTCAACTCCTTGAGAGCCGCGAGATTCTCGGGCGTAAAGTGCGTGAAGAACGTTGGCGGCGGGGGGAAAGCTGCCGAGAGCGCACCGGGGGGTTGTTCGGCCATTGCTGTTTCTTTCTTTTTCTTCTTCTCCTCCTTCTTCTTCTTCTAGATCTTCTTCTTTGCGTGTGCGGATGTGGACTGTGGTGGTGGAGGATCTCGGGGGTGCGGGCGATGCTCGTTATTCCGGGCGTTGTTGTGTCGTGCGCGAGAGCTTGTCCGCCGGGCGGAGGAGGAGGAGGAGGAGGAGCGCGCGCAGGGAGTGCAAGTACGGCTGCGGCGTACATGTCAGCACTATCATTGATACCTTGCTGGCCATGCGCAGAGCTTCGAGACAACAGATCTGAAATCACACAGAGCACACACACCGCACGCACGCACACACACAGCATCTCACACGCAGAACACCCCCGATATCTCAAGGAGAAGGCTCGCAAAGGGACCTCGCAATGCCCGGGTCCGCCACGGCAAAGGCCCGCTACCACGACGAGGGCACAATGGGCGCCTTCCGCCGGTTCTGGCAGGTCCGTCAATTGAGTTAAAGCTCTATCTACTTCTACGATATGCAATGCTAATAGCTCTGGGCCCTACATAGAGATCCTACGCGCCAGACTGGCTCGGCGTGCTCATGATCGCGCTCGAGAACCTCGCCATCACCTTCTTCGAGCCCTTCCACCGCATGTTCAGGTATTCCATACAGCCCCTCCCCACCCACCGTAGAAGCACAGACTAACTCTCCAACAGCCTCGACAACCGCGACATCCAATACCCTCACGCCGAGATCGAGCGCGTCCCCGTGCCCATGCTGCTCACCTACAGCATCGGCTTCCCGCTCCTCATCATCACCCTCTACACCCTCCTCACGCCCTCCAAGCACCTCAGCACCCCCTCCCGTCTGCACCTCCTGCATGTCTCCCTCCTCGGCCTCTGCATCTCCCTCATGCTCACCACCTTCATCACAGACCTGATCAAGAACGGCGTCGGGCGGCCGCGGCCCGACCTCATCGCGCGCTGCCTGCCACGCCCCGACACACCCGAGCACGAGCTCGTGACGTGGGAGGTGTGCACGCAGACGGACCACCACACGCTGCACGACGGGTTCCGGTCGTTCCCCAGCGGGCACAGCAGCTTCTCGTGGGGCGGGCTGGGGTACTTGAGCCTGTTTCTGGCGGGGCAGTTGGGCGCGTGGAGGAGGGGCGCGGCGATGGTGAAGGTTGTGGTTGTGGGGCTGCCGGCGGTGGCGGCGGTGCTGGTGACGGTGAGTCGGACGGAGGATTATAGGCATGACGTGTTTGATGTGTGTGTGGGGAGCTTGATTGGCATGGGGATGGGGTATTTTAGCTATGTGAGTGTCTTGCCCTGGCTCAGGTACGGTGGGTGAGTGCTAATGTGTGTGTGATAGCGACGGTATTTCCCGGCCCTGACGAGCAAGCACTGCGATGTGCCTTACAAAAGAGGCGAAGACGACGAGCACGGCGGTAAGGGCGACTCGAGGGGCGATTTTGAGATGCTGCCGCGGCGGGTTGACAGCCCGGACCTGGAGATGGGTGAGCCACGTTAGTAGAAAACCAATTAACAATCTTGCCCTCCTCTTTTGCTTATCGTGGATAGGGCCGAGAACAGACAATGACGAGTGGGGGTTGAGGGGGTAGTTGGGAGGGTAGTTTATTGAAAAGCATAGCATAGCATAGCATAGCATAGCGATGTATGTATTTGGTGTTTTTATACTGTTATAGCGTGGAATTGATTATGCCCATTGCTCTGTGGCCGGGTTGGTCGTTGGTTTATTTATGTCTTGCTCGTTGTGTTTTGTTGTGGGTTGGCCGATCATTGGTCTTTAGCATACAATGAATGTAGTTCTTGTACCGGTTGGTTCATGGCACATCACTCGCAATGGAATGGTGACGCAGTTGGGGCGACATGTCAATCACCAGGAACACAACTATTTTTGCAACCATCAGCCACTCCCGCTCTATCGGGAGAATAATCTCTTATGTTTTCATCCGTCAAGTCTTGAGATGGATTGTTTACTGAAGTTGATAGAAGCTTTCGATAGAAAAAAAAGAGAAAACCATAGACAACAATGACAATTGCAAGATATCTCTTGAACAAAACCGCCATACAGACAATACTCGGCTCTTAAGATAACCTCGAACTACTAACTAGCAACCTAGTTACCGTCCCTTCCCTCTTCCCCCGTCCCCCGTCCCCCTTCCCCGATGAATCTCAAAAAGGTGCTTGATTGATCACAAAACAACAAAACTCCTTAATTCCTTATCCAGGATGCACACACCAGACACACAGATGGGGGGAGACTGTGACTAAAAGAAGAATGAAGATACCTCACAACGATAGGAGACAGAAAAAGGAAAACGGGAAACAAAAAACAATAGAAGTAAACGCCAGTAATGACCACACACAAAACCAACTACCAAAGAGCTCCGAACCACAAAACGTCCTTCGGGAGTGAAAATAAATAGTAATTAGCCAATATAAAGTCAGACCTCCATTGTACCAGCAGGCTCCTCATCTCCGGAATCAAACGATCCCACAGATGACATGTCATCATCGCTTTCGGACTCGTCTGTGGCAGCATCGGCAGCTTCTCTGGTTGCGTATTTGTTGACGTACTCTACCGGTACACCTCCCGTTAGCTCTGGAAGTATTGTCGGGGTCGGAAACCACACTCCGACTTACCCTTAACCTTGATGTCGTACTGCCTCGGCTCCCTCATCAACAAGGCCGCTGCCTCTCCGTTTAAAGGGTCGGTAGGGTTAGGGTAGCGCAAGAGCTGCGGTAGGAAAACCTCAAAGATATTGATCATGTCAAACATGGGAGACCATGTCTGGTTGATGACGTCAAGACACACGCTTCCGCTTCTAACCTCATTACCGCATCAATTCTCTGTTTCCTTTCTGTATTCGGGGAAGGGGAGAGTTTGGACCCACAGCTCGTCAATGTTGGGGTGGAAGATGCGGTTCACGAAACCGATCGAAGGGCTCTTGTAGGGGTACTGGTCGGGGAGCTCGACGTGCACTTTCCAGTTGCCACCGGCGAAGGGAGCTATACAGAAAAGTATGTCAGTTAATTGGACTCGTAATCTGCCCGGCAGATCTCCCCCAGAACGGCCTCTCCGCCCCTCCGCCCCCACCATATCCACCATTCTCGGGGGTGTGCGCGCGGTGCGGCGGTTGCCATTCGCACCACCGGAGAAGCGCGAAATTGCAGGAGAAAGTGGTACATACTCTCTTCAGGACCCTTGAACCGGACATAGAATTCCTGCCTGCGTCACGTGAGAAATTGTGGAAGTGGAAGCGAGAAGTTGTTTAAGGGGTTGGAGTTACACTGCGCAGCGTGTTAGTGACGTTATACGAGGGGAGGAGGCGCAAAGCTCCCCTTGATTGCGGGGGTGTAGTAGGAAGCTTACTGTTATCGTTGACTAGGGTAACTTCGTAGTCACTCATCAAGCTAGAAGTAGTCAATATCAGGGCCTCGCTCGCTTGTTTCGGAAGCTTCAAAGAACTTACAGCCTACATGGAAGGTAGTCAGTCAGCAAAGATTACCAAAACTAGGGGGGAAAGGGAACACAAGTTGCACAACGTCTCGGGAATTGCAATGGACGGAGTGTGTTGTACCTCATGACCTAGAGATGAGCTGTCAGTACGGTGCAGTACAAAGTTGGTGGAGGTGGAGCAGTCCTCGAGGAAGTCTTGGACCTACATCAGTTTCTATTCTTCTTTTTGGGGAGCTCATGGCGGGCAGTTATGGTAGTGTTTGAAGGTCGAGAGTAGAGTAGAGGTCGAGGCGGGGGGTTGTATTTCTAACTGTCAGGTTGGTGATCAGTTGCGGAGCGAGTAAGTAGTAAGTGGCGAGGAGGTGGAAGGGTGGTGGTGGTCAAGGAAGAGCGGGGGGGGCGAGACAAGATGAACCGATAACACGGGTGGCTAAATCGAAGGGCTGGAGGTGCAAAACAGGGTGAGGGTGAGACCTGTCACGATGTGGGAGCGGGGGGGGGGGGATGGTAGGCCGCTAGAAGGGTGAAGCCGGAGCAAGATCACGGCAGACGTAGGGCAGCAGACGTACCACAGCGACAACAATGGGAGAACAGAGAGGCAGCAGGCAGGGTGGTGTAGGTACGAAACAGCAGAAGAAGAAGAAGAAGATGAAGAAGATGAAGAAGAAGAAGAAGAAGAAGAAGAAGAAGACACACGCAGACGAGGGAAGAGGAACGAACAAGGTAGAGAAGAGGTGGATCAGTTGGAGCACTTGGAGCACTTGGAGCACTTGGAGGAGAAGAGGAGGAGGGGTTGTCACTTGTCACAGCGATTGATTGATATGGACGTATGGATTATATGTATGTAGAGTATGTACCTATGTACACATGAGCATGCACTTTCTATACCGAGTTACACTGCAATCTACACGGGCAAGTGGGAAGCGAGCGAGTGGATAGCAGAGTCGAGAGCGCGAGTGGAGAGCGGAGTGGGCAGCGAGGGAGGCCCGCAGTGAAGTGGAGAGGCCGTGATGGGAGGGGAGCCAAATTAACAATGCATCCAAAGTGTCAGGTGCACGCGGTCCACAGGCTTTGGATCTCACTGATGGTATCCAGCCAGGTGTGATAGATAGTTACTCTACAGTAGTCTTCTATCTGGCAGCCCACTCATCCTCGCCCATGCCCACTCCTTACTCACTCCCTGATACTCACTGATGATCCTCACTAATATTATTAACTCTGCACCGTATATCATGTAGTCAGTCCCATGGTGTTGGGGTGCATGGCTCTATTTTGTTACCACTGCGAGTCTGTTGCTCTGTTTTGTTGCTGCGCTGCTCTGTCTCAATGGTGGGGCAACTCGGCGCCACATTCGAACGCCGCATTCAGCAGTCAAGCACATGGTTCCCGGCAAAAAGGTTTTTTTCTCTCGGTCATGACTGATCAGATCCATAGATCCTCAACCAACGGGCCGAGGGATGCCGTTCCCCTGACTAAAGGAGGGAAAGAGAAAGGGAGAGAAAAAAAAAATTTAAATTTCAGAAATACAATCATAGCTTAGTAGTTAGAGGGGTGCCTGTGCCTGACTCGTACGGGATTCTGACTGATTTCAACCCCTACAAATTTAAAGCTGCTTTTCTTTTTATTCCTTTCTCTTTCAACCCCAAACTCTACACCACAGATCTTCAACGCCCAGTTGTAAATACTTTCTTTCACGCCCCCTTATATTGCACGAAGCTATATTATTATATCCACAATGAGTTACAATGCAGCAGTAGCCCTCACCCGTCTCGCGCTCGCCCGCCCAGCAGCAGCGCCTATTAGAGGAGCCTCCTCTCTTCTCCGCAACAGCAGCACCAGATGCTACTCTTCGCACTCGCCCATGGCCCCCGGTGCCCTCCCGCCCCGGAAGAAGGTCACCATAAACTCCCTCCGCACCATGCACGCCAACAAGGTCCCCATAGCAATGATGACGGCTCACGATTTCCCCTCCGGCCTAGCTGCCGACCAGGCACACATGGACATGATTCTTGTGGGCGACTCATTGGCCATGGTAGCATTGGGAATGGAGGTGCGTGTGGTCATGGCCCATCACTCGGGCCCGTTCCGTCCCCTTTTCGTCACTCGGGCCCCACACCCACACAAAACACACACACGTTAATTAAGTAGCTTTGCTGATCATTACCACCCACTATCTAGGATACGAACCAATTGAAGCTGGAGGTACTGAATATCCCCGATTAAACCCCCCTAATCCTGGAAGATTAAAAATGTAGACGAATGTTTTATTAGGATATGCTTCACCATTGCCGCGCTGTCTCGAGGGCTGTTAAATCAGCTTTTACCGTAAATCTCCCATCCTCTCTCTATATATAAATATCATAGTAAAAAGAGAATAAGACCTAATCTGTAATCATAATAACCCACAGATCGGTGACCTCCCAATGGGCTCCTACGAAATCTCCCCCGAGCATGCAGTCCGCTCCGCCATCTCAATGATCCAAGATGGCCGAGTAGAGGTTGAACCCCCACATAAAGCCAAGCTCCCCATCCTCTATACCTCCCACTAACAACATACACAGTCCGTCAAGCTCGAAGGCGGCGCCGAAATGGCCCCCACAATCTCCCGCATCACCTCCATCGGCATCCCCGTCCTGGGGCACATCGGCCTCACCCCGCAGCGCTCCCACGCCCTCGGCGGCTTCCGCGTTCAAGGTAAGACTGCCTCCAGTGCCAACAAGCTTCTCACCGACGCCCTCGCGCTGCAAGCCGCGGGCTGCTACTCGCTCGTTCTCGAGGCCGTACCCGCGCCCGTCGCGGCGCTCATCTCGTCCAAGCTACGGATTCCCACGATTGGGATTGGCGCGGGAGGTGGGTGTGGCGGGCAGGTGCTGGTGCAGATTGATGCGTTGGGGAACTTTCCGGAGGGGAGGTTTATGCCCAAGTTTGTGAGGAAGTATGGGAGTGTATTTGAGGAGAGTAAGAGGGCGATTGAGAGGTATCGAGGTGAATTTTTCTTTCTTTTTTTCGGGCGGTTTTTGGCAGAGAGGAGTGCTGACTGCGTGGTGTAGATGAGGTGAAGAGTGGCCAGTATCCGGCGGTTGAGCATACATACCCGATCAGTAAGGGCGAATTGGAAGAGTTTGAGGCCATCGTAGAGAGGCGTTCCAAGGAGTTTGAGGTAGAGGAATAGATTAGAGTAGAGTAGAGATGGGGTTGTTTAGTCTAATACCTTTCGATTGTTATATTGCGGCTTTCTGTTTTGTTTGTGTGGTTTTGTTTTTGGCTTGTGCGTTGTTGTAAATCTTTATCGTTGGGAGCCACAATGTCTTTTTTTTTCCTTGCGTATTGTTTTAGAAATTTTTTTTCTATTCCCGAAATAGAGAAGGGTGTTGAGGGGAGGCAGCTAGTCGTGGACTTTAGATTAATCCCAATGTATGTACTGTACTGTATACGTACTATACTATGAATCGATATGTACTGATTAGAGGTGTCTCTGGTGTTATCGTATCGTGATGGATGAGGATGATATTCAGTGTATTGTAAGCAAGCTGAGAAAGAAAGGAAGAGAAGAGAAGAGACCGTAGCTAAGCTAACCAAAGAAACAGGACAGCGAGACAGGACAGCAAGACAGGACAACAAACCCTCTTTACATTAGACCGACCCGCATATGAGCAGCCAACGACTATTTCAACATCTGCGAGTGATTTTCTGTGAACCAGCCACTCTCCGTCATTCAGCAGTGCATAGCCCCTTCAAACCAGATGGCAGCACACCTACATGTAGTCATGTTTCTAGGCTGTGCACCGCCTACACAGTGGGTTAGTGGTGTAAATGTATCTCCAGGCCCCCAGACTAGGTACGGTGTTTAGTTAAACCACGGTAAGTGCTTGTTTAAATACTCTCGTCTTGGAAGATTCCTACTTGCTATAAATTCGTAGTTCACCTCCACCCCCCCACCCCCTTTTTTTTTTTCCTCCCCTCGAGTCTCCTGGTCTCCTGATTTCAAATTTTTTGAAACTGGGAAGTACATGGCTCTATCTCCCTCCGGTTTCACCGAATAATATCTCGGCGAAACATACTCATTGTACGAAAGCTCTTATTGCGCCAGACTTTGTTGGTATTGGAATGTTCTGGGCACGAGACCAAGTGTGGATAGAAACACCACCACCACACGTGTTCACTGCTGATGCGAGTGATATTTCATGACTAACTGATCACCCAAACTCAACCCTTCTCTTTCTCTGCACAACACTAGGCATGGCACCCCAGCCCAGCACCATCACATAATTCGACATCATATCTACAACAAAATACCTTGAGTGGGGATAGCAAGACGAAAACATCCACTTACGTCCTTCTACATCTACAGGCTGTGGCGCCCAGCTAGCGCGCGATCACAGCCCTACATTCGCCATACTACTCATCGCATCTCTGTCCTCGATCACCACTCTCATCTCTTCAGACCCACACTATCCTCCCGCTAACTCTCAACCCCCATCATCTTCCTCACCACCTCACCCGGCAGGCCCCACGCCATCTCCATCCACACCCTCACCACCAAACGATACACGGACTTTTTCACACTACATTCGATTCATGAAACACTCTATTCATTGGACCCAAAACTGTAATATCTATATCATCTTAGGCATTTATCATTATTCAAGAGCTCATGTCTACGAGCAAGCTAATCATTACAAAATACACATCTTATCATCGTCTCAATTAGTTACGCCAGCCATTAAATATGCCATCTTTTCATCCACGCCCTTCGTTCAACACCAGCTAATGCCCCATAAGAAAAAAACCGCTCCCACCGTTTTAAAACACCCGAGAAGCAAAACAAGACAAAAAGGAAAAACAAAACAACAAATAGAGAGCAAGAAAACACAAAAGGAAACAAGAACGAGCCAGAATATCAACAGCCCTGTAGCTCAAGACAGCAAATCAAAAACAAGGGGACTAATTAATAGCTCTCTGGTAGCCCTAGGCTCAAGAAGTCCGGAACATCATTGCTCGAACAACTCCAGTCACGGTCATAAGCTTTCGCCGGTAATATTCCAGCAGCCATGCCCTTTTTGTAGGACCATTGAATAGCTTTCTCGGTGTCCCATGTCCAGTACATCCATCCCCAGCCGACTTCAAATGCGTCCATTTGTGCTTTGGTCTCAAGTCAATAACCGTCGCGGAAATACAAGGTTGAATAAACAACATACCTATAGCAAACATCTTCAAAAACTGCTTGTATTCAGCTGTGTATGTCGACGCGTCTGCGTTTGCATTTTCGCAGGAACAGTCCGTTCCACTGGGACAGCTAGGTTTGGATACTGCTGTGCCATCCGTAGTGTTCAAGGTTCCCTCCCAACGCGAGCCAACACCAACCTATACTTCATTAGAAATCACTCGGCCACTCAAGTGAGAGTACAAATTTCAACTCACATTATTCAAATACGGCGTGCAGTCCGTATCAGCCTGTCCCCATTCACCAACGATAGTCGGCCCGAACCCCGTCGATGTATTAAGACTCTCTGCCAGCTGCTGGCTCCATCCTATACAGGCAAAATTTACCTTCGCAGTATGGCTGGCAGAGAGCTGGCCTACGTTAAAGATGACATATTGATGCACATCCAATACCATCTTATCAAGGCCATCGAATGCACCTTTCCATGAGGTTAGACCTCTAAAGCCATCGCCGAAAATGATGTAGCCCTCATACCCAGCTTTCCGGATAACAGCATGGGCCTTTGTACTCCAATCAATGACCTTCTGGGGATCAAGATATATCATCTTTGGCTCATTGACGAGGCCATACATAGTGACTATGTTCTTGTACCTCGGCTGCGCGAAAAACTCTGCCATCCCAGCGTGGAGATCTAGTGTTTTCTGCCCATTGAGCTCTCCGTCGGTTCCATTTAGCCAATTGATTGGCCCAAGTCTGCCACTGTGATTCCATCCGTTTGCTCCTCCGTACACACTGTGCAAGTCAAGTTTGACCCTCAGTCCGTACTTTCGGCAATACTCAATTGCACGGAGCAGGTATCTCCATCCAACATTTGGGAGATATGGATCTCCAGTCTCTGGGAATACAGACCAATACCCAAATGGAATACGAACATGGTCAAGGCCAGCATCTCGAATCCCTTTGAATGTGGCTTCGTTGACAAATGTTGAATAATGTTTTTCGACGGTTTCTTTTGTTTTGCTCTCACCGAGTGTTTTGGTCAAGGTATACTCGTCAACGACACCATATGCCGAGGAATATGCGTCAAAGAACGATGGTGTAATAAACGGTTCAATGATGAGCCAACCTCCCACGTTCACACCGCGGATAGGGTTTGTCCCAGCTTGGGTGCCATAGTTCCATTTTTCGTTCAGTGCCGGGACGTTGGGGTTGGCTTTCGCGGAATCATCAAAATCATCAAACAGCCCCATCACTGAGAGTCCGCCAACTTTTTTATCAGTGAATGTCAGGTTGAAATCTGTAGTATCGAGCCAAGTGAATGGGTCGAGATATGTTCCTTTATACTCGCTCTATTTGTAATCAGCATCATGAATTCGCATTCGATCCAGTGGCAATGACTAACCGGAACACTATTAGGGTCAATATTTGAAATGTCTCCAGAAGAAGCCCCTTTTCCAAGACCAGACTCATCCGCGGAGCTAGTTGCAGCCTTCTTCTTTCCGGCAACTACAACACCGACTGGAATCAAAATGATGAGTAGCAGTATCGTTATGCCAAGCAGAATCCCTAATTATAGTCAGCCCTTGCTTCCATTTATAACAATTTATATTACAAACAGGAACCATACAGAAGCGACGCCCGCATTTCCTTTTCTTTGGCGGCGGCGGTGGTGGTGCACTGCGACTTCGGCTCCTTCTCCCTCTCAGGCGCTCCGCAGCTTCCAAGTCCTCATCATTGGTGCCGTCAATGGCAATCCCATGCCTGGACTTCCGTTTCGTCCTGCTCTTCCTTCTAGGTCTTTCGCCAAGGTCACCGCCTCGATGTCTATATTCGTCCTCTGTGCTCTCAGACCTCACGACCCGAATAGTCTGAGCGTTACCCCGCCGACCCTCACCCCGCCGACCCTCACCATGCCTGCTCTCCCCACGCCGGCTCTCCCGACGTCTACTTTCCCCACGCCTACTCTCTCCGCGCCTACTCTCCCCACGGCCAATATCACCTCGCCGACTTTCCCCTCTACGCGGCCTTCTGCTCTCAGCCCTTCCCAGGTCTCTTTCTCGGCGCCTTTCGCTCCTTATTGCTGCCGCGATCTTTTCCCGTTCAATCTCATCATAGGTCGAGTCGTGAGAGTCATCCCTTTGGTGTGCCAATGCATACCGCGGCATAGTCGTTAATCGTTAGTCGTGATTCGTTATTCGTTAATCTCGAGTCGAAGTGGTAATAGCCAGGGTTGATCCCCCTCTCAGGAATGCTCGAAGTTCTCAATGCGTATATGACAGGTTGATATAGTGAAGCAGAGCTGCAGGCAATTAACTACCACCACTACCACGCAAGGCAAGGCGGATCGAGCTACCTGCAGTATGGACCTGCAGTGTTAACCTCCACTGCAGTGAAGGTCCCTCCTAGCAATGAAAAGCAAAAAAAAGAAAAAGTTGAATATGCCAACTACTAATATATAGGAGGCCCAACCAAACAGCACCCACGTAATTCGTGAAAATACGATAGCAACAGCAGCAGAGCGAGAGAGCAAACGCGAAGCGAAAGACAGAGGCGTGAGGAGTTACGGAGGGAGGGGGAAAGGGCAAGAGACACACGCGTAATGCCAAAATACCAAGCGGCTTGGTGGTTTATTCCTCCTGCCTATGCCTGCCAGCGAACAGGGAAGGGCAGGCAGGTACAAACCTCTAGATGTTGTTTTGGTTGGACGGTTGCCATAGGAACCGATGCAAGCGACCAACCCAGCGGCAAGCAAGGTAGATCTCCCAGCCTAACTCAGTCTGTCGAATCTCGGCTAGCATCCCTGCCACTTGCGAGCCGCGACTTATCGACGTCTCTCGGCCCCTCCCGATTGGCCCACGCTTTAAAGTTGTTCCTGTTAGAGCCACGTGCAAGCGTCATCGCGGTTCACATAATATATTTCACAAACACGCAAAATCTCAAACTCTACCTCACCTCAGCTCAGCTCATATCCTCAGCTCACCCTTTTCTCCCCGCCTTTCACTCCTAATTATGCACGGTTGCCAAATTATCAATATATTGGTTTTTGACTTCGTTTTCATTCATGTCACTAATATATAAAACCAAACAAGTCGTCAGACTTATGTATTTACAATGGATAGGGGGGCTTGGGAGAGTAAAGAGGGAGAAGAAAGCTTCGAACAAACAGAAACTAAGAAAGAGTACTCCGAAATCGCTTTCTCGCCCGCCCGCCAATAATGCTTTTTGGTCCCGGCCATATAAAAAGAAAAAGGAAAATCGGGTAAAATAAAGCTGACAAAAAATTTCGTCTCAGTCAACTTCATATAGAAAAAAACCATAAGGAACTAATAAAAGGCCAAGGTCGAAAGGGGGGGGGGAAAAAAGAAAAAAAAAAGTAGAAACGTGCGCCTTCTAGCTTGATACACCATAATCCGTCCCGACCACCAATCACACCTTCGCCTTTCGAATTTAAAGGGCGGGCTTGAACGTAAGCGGGAAAAAGAAAGAGAAAGAAAAAAAAACGAAAAACCTTGAAAAATCCAAATTAATGCAAAGTCAAACAATCTGCAGCCTCCCACACGCCATGTAGATAAGTGAAAACTTTAGGAGGAAAGAAGGGATATATAAAGCATAATAAAAAATGATGGCAAGTCAATAAATATGAGGGAGAAATGCTGAGAATAGACTAGATAAATCGTTTCCATATCGTTGAGCTACCATGGGCGAATTGTCAGGCAATGACAACCCTACCGCCTTCTCTGCTGGAAAGAACCCCACGTTCTTGCGGCTTCGGGCTGGATGCTCTTCCCCTTTTCTTTGACAAGAACCCCAGCATACCAGAAGGCTTTGATTTTACCGGCGCAGATTTATCAGCCAGATCTGACCACGAACCAGTCCCGTCCAATGTGACCGATACCCCACCACTTGCCGACTGATTCCTGACCCCGTGCCTGGCCTTCGTCCCTGCGGTTGGTGGCCTTACCGGCGTCGGCCGTTCAGGCGCGGTTACTGTCTTCAACAACGTATGTGGCGATGACGTGACCTCTCTATTCCCATTGCACTTGGTCGGTATCGGCGGGGAACCCGAAGTCGGAGATCCCACCGTTGACTTCTGGCTCTTTGAGGTGGCGTTTATTGAGACAGGGCTGCCCGTGCCCCCTGTCACGCACCCAGCGGGGAGGTTCGAAGGTTTTACCCAGTCTGGCGGTGGACCCACAGAGTGGGACTCGTTATCAACAGTACCGGGGTAGCTGCTGAACTATCAGTAAGTACTATCCTCATCAATGACAAAAAAAACATACTTATCATACGCTACTGAGGTATAATCAAAGGGCTCAAAAAGCGTCTCTATCATCTTGTGTAGTTCCTCCTCCCTAATTTCCTGTGCGGTAGCATCAGGCCTTAATACCTCTCTGGGCCTCTGTCTTCGTGCTCGTGCTTCAAGCGGTGCTTCCTCCAATAATAGCTCCTCCAGGTCGTATGTCGCGTCGAAATTCGTCTTATCACTTGAGGGCTTGAATACTGGTTCGATCTCCTTCCTTTCCAATGCTTCGAAATCCAAATCCGCAAAGAAGACATGGTTGGTGAAACTTTCATATGTCAGAGCGCCTATCCTTTTGGAAACATCCGCCTGCAACAGACTCCGTATTGAGTCCATGCAGGTATTTGTTACTGCTGGTTTCGTAACTGCGTATACAGGGTTCGCCCTCATGATTTCTCTCGAAAGTTCTATGTGGGTATCGGAAATAAATGGCCGCTATTTCGTGTCAGAACAAAAAACCCTCCGAAACCAAGGAGAAAATTACCTTTCCGTAGATGCACTCATAGAATACGACTCCCAACGACCACCAGTCCACCTCCGTTCCGTATCCCGTTCCCGCATAAACCTCTGGCGCGAGGTAAGCCAATGTACCTGACTTGCTTGTTAATGGCCGGTCAGGGTGGATATCCGACGCAACATTCTACCATTCTAAAATTAGCTACTGCCTATTCCCCTATAAGTATGGGGAGCCTTACAAAATCCGCCAAATGCACATGACCATCCCCGTCGAGCAATATATTGTCGGGTTTGACATCACGATGCACGATACCTCTCGAATGGATATACTTCAATGCGCAAGACAATTCTGCCATCCAAAACCTAATAGCATCCTCCGTAAAGGTCTTTCGCGAGATGTGGAAACGCAAATCTCCACCATTCATCAAATCAACCACAATGTACCTAAAATTCAACCCAACCGTTAGGATCCACCGAGTTCCTATAAGGTGATAGATGATGTTGAAAAACATACAAGTATTCGATATCCTGGAAAGAATATCTCAGATTGCACAGAAACGGGTGGTTTAAATGCTCCAACATCCGTCGCTCCCTGATGATATTCCGGACACTCTCCGATCGAACCACTGCAATTTCCCACGCATCAGCCCAATTCCACTTTCCACACGTTCTCTCCCTCTCCAAGCAGCTGCCACACACCTTCATCTTTCCTGATGTACTTGAGTGCGAACGTCAAGCCCGTATCCTTCCTCTCGACAATGCGGACCTTCCCGAAAGCACCCTTTCCCACTACTCGTAACAGGCGGAAATGATTTAGGTTGACTGAAAATTCTTATCAGTAGCTGAAGCTTCGTCGGGCAAGGAAAATACGGGTAGAACAAACCCTCATCCGTGAATACAACGGGTTTCCCGCTGGAATTACCCATGGTGTCTTTTTCGAGCTTTCTTGGGTTATTGTATCAACGCCAGACTGGAAATAATTGACCCTTTAATATCTTGTCGCCTTTAGATTCTTATTCTTCCGAGCAGTGTACCCGATTGTCTTGCGAATTGCTTTTGCACAAAAAATTATGAGAAGAGGAAAATGGAATAGAGGATTTTCCTTAGGTGTGCTTGAGTGATCGGCAATGAGGTTTCGAGGAAAGGGAACACAGCAACGGAAAGTAAGAAAAGAGATAGAAACAGGGTTTAAGAGATAGTCGTCGGAATATGAACGGAGAGAGTTAAGACTCAGAGAATCCCGGGGAGGGAGCAAGTGGGTAAGTAAGTAAAGAAGGAAAGGAGACTTCTAGAAGTTCTGCAGAAGAGAGAAGCAAGAGAAGGAAACCACAGAAGAACGAGGTGGGGTGCGGTGAGCAATTGGGTAGGTAGTGCAAATGGTTGGCCAGGAACGGAGAGGGTGCCAAAAGGGCAGAAAATAAGGTAGGGTTGTTGTAGTAATAGTAGTGAGTGGTGTGTGTGTGGGCAAGGCTGGCAGGATTATCAGTGTTGTAAGGACAGGCGGATGAAGCAAAGGGAAATTCGGCTTTGGTAAAGAGAAATGCGAAACACCCGTACCGGTCAGTTTCTCTACTTTCGGGCTTTTCGTTGTAGGCGACAAATAGATTAGAAAAAAATAAGTCAACCCCAAACCGAACAAGTGTTCCAAAAGGCTGGTTATGGGAATGGGTTCACGCGATTTATTGGGGATCGGTCAATCAATCAGGGAAACAGGAACACTCCGCCGAGGGAAAGCGTGAGTCGTCTATATGTAGGTACGGGTTTTTTCCAACTACAGTTGTAACGCCTGACTGAGTGAGGTTGTGAGGGATGGATGGGGGGATTGAGCAAGCAAGTAAGCAGCAGTTTTGCGACTGCTGGGATCAAAAGGAAGCAAGGAGAAAAGCAAGAAGGAGAGGAGAAGTCGACGACGTCGGTCTGCTCCGTATGTAGGCAGAGTATTATTGGATGGTATGGTACTACTCCAGAGCACGACCTATTAGGCTTGCTTGTGGGGACTCACTCTATCTAGGTAGAGAGCTGCTAGGGGAAGAATGAGTGCCTTTACGTAGGAGGTGGTCTAGATACTCTTGAGGCTAGGTAAGATGCTCAGAAAGAGCTCGTGTGGGCGTGGTGGAGGCACTGAGGGTGTGGGTGCCCCAAGACGTAACAACCTACAAGGGCTTCGGATTGTTGACGGTTTCATGGGTGGGGAAAGCAGAACAGACAGGGGAGCCCAGATAGAGGGGTGCGCCCTTTCATGACGGTTCTTTCTGCAGAAGAATTAAAATCTACCCCCTTCCCTTCCCTTCCCAACTTCCCCCACCCGGTCCAGCCCTTTCTTCCTTAAGTTCCTTCCCCCATCGTATCGTCGGCCAACTCTCGAAAGAGTACCCGTCATGTCAGTACTACATACAATGTACATGCACC